ATGTACCCCCTCAGTCCTCACTTCCCATTGTACGCAAAGATTTACAAAAGAAATACCGTAATTTAAACAATAGGCATATTCTGACACCCCCCCCCCCTCTCCTAGTTGTGTGGGTCTATATACTGCTGATCTCTTAATTCTTGACTGGATGGTGTTTGGGTAAAATTCAAAGACTACCTGATGTGTGATATCAGGCCGAACTGATCCAATACCGCGACCATTTTTCTTCAAAATGCCTTTGTGGTGATCACAGTTGAGCAGTTCAAAATTTTTGCCATTCTAGCACAACAAAAAATATACAAAGCTTCAGTTTTTGTATGAAACGAAGGAGGGGTCTTATTAACAAGAGGGTCTTATTAACATTCCAGCCAGCTGTTGGTAATGTTCCAAGTTGCTGTTTCATTGTTTATCAGTTTATAAGATATATTGGCAGTCGCAACTCACAAACACGTGCGAATTTGCCATTTAAAGTTTATAAATAGTCCCATACAGATCCTCATATAAAAGTGTTTTACAACGAGTGTGTGATGTTTAAAGACTACCTTTACTGTCTCAAGCGATGCTTTTTCTAAAACGACAATCAAACGTTTGCCCGAATCTTTTTCTTTTAATGTTTTTGGCATTTTTCTCGGTCGCTCATATTCATCTCCGCTTTCCGCCATCTTGTTTTGCTAAACTGGCCAATCGCGAGCTAGTGCTATTTTCCCCTCCTTTCTTGCCAGCACTACATAACCATAACCCGCGAACAGGCATACTCTGGAGACTTTTTAAAAACTCCAATTTTCCTGGTTTTTCATTTCCTAATTAAAACTGCGTTTTCACTTTTCCGGTTCTTTATATTTCTTTCATCAGAATATCAAAATGTTTGGGAAAGCTTAGCTTGCGAACAGGCTCTTTGAATTTCAAAGAGAGTTCAAAGAGAGCCTGTTAGCAGGCTAGGGAAAGCTTGGAGAACTTCAAAAGGATCAACCTCGTTTCAGCTAAAAGAAAACTGTGTAAACTAAATTGGAATCGGGGTAAAAATCATTCCACAATTCCTAGCAATTTCCCAACCTCGTACCCAGGATCTTTCTTTGGGAAAGACCCTGGCTGCGGCTGGTCACGTGCCTCATCAAACATTTAGCGCCTGAGGGGGTGTGGGCAAAGTATCAAATTACATCAACATGCTTCCAGTGGAATATTCGTTAAAAACATAAATTTTG